TTTTCGCAAATTTTTGTCCTGTAATACAGTGGTCCCCAACCTTGGGCCTCCAGATGTTCTTGAACTACAACTCCCAGAAGCCTTCACCACCACCTCTGTTGGCTAGAATTTCTGGGAGTTGACGTCCAAGAACATCTGGAGGCCCAAGGTTGGGGACCACTGCTGTAATAGACTCAGTCTAATCAATAATCCTGACTAGAATAGATTCATTGAATCACTGGACTTGCATAAGTGTTGGCTTGACAATTTACTTCCTCAATTATCCTTTAATTTAGTGAGTATGCTTTAGTTTAGATTTATTCATTTATTTATTTAGCTTATATGCCACCCACACTACCCAAAGATCTCTAGGCGGCTTACAACAATTTGATTTCAATAAAAAGATTAAAAGAATTAAAATACAATTAAAAATACAATGCTCTAAAAATTGCCATCAGGATCCACAGTTGATATTATTTCAATTAAAAATCTTCTGTAATAGGAAGGTTTTGACCTGGCGCTGAAACGTCATCAATGTTGGCACCAGATGAATCTCACTTGGGATGGCGTTCCATAATCTGGGAGCAGTTGCCGAAAAGGCCCTTCGTCTACAAGCCATCCATCTTACCTCCTTGAGGGATGGCTCTTTCAGGAGGGCCCCCTGGCTAGATCTTAATTGCCGAGTAGGTTCATATGGAAGGAGGCGGTCCTTCTGGTATTCAGGGCCCAAGCCATTTAGGGCTTTATAATCAAAACAAGCACTTTGAATTGGCCCTGGGCAGCAACTGGTAGCCAATGTAATTTAAACAGATTCAGCCTGATATGTCCCCTAGCTGCCCCACCACTCACCAGCTGCGCAGCTCGATTCTGAACCCGTTGCAGTCGCTGGACCGTCTTCAAAGGCAGCCCCACGTACAGTACATTGCAGGACAGTGGTGCCTCACATTACGATGTTAATTCGTTCCAGCGAAATAGCTGTAGAACGAAAACGTAATGCGAAAATAAAAAGCCAATTGAAATGCATTGAAACCCCTTCAATACGTTCCAATGGGCTGGAAACTCACCGTCCAGTGAAGATCCTCCAGCGAAGATGTAAAATAACAGTTAAATGAAACTGCACTAACCCCAGAATCACTTTTATTGAGTATGATACCAGCCAACATAGATGAGATAAAGAGTTACCCAGCTTTATGCTAAAAAATTGGAAGAAAGCAGAGATACCAAAACAAGAGGAACTCATTGATAAGTCATGGGAAGCGGCAGAAATGGATATTGTTTCAGACATGTTGAAAGACTGTTCAATTAAAAAGGAAACTGAACGATGGGATTTATTATACAAATGGCTTCAGTCCCCAGATAGTGTTGGAGTAACATAGATTTAAACTAAGATGTAACTGTATGTTGAAAGCTGGAGGGTAGACAAATTGTAAAAAAGCAGAAAGTTGATCTGTTATCATAGAATGAATAGATTGGATGATTGTATACTTTGTGTTCTCCTACCCCCCTAACTCTTTTTCTTTCCCCCTACTTCCTTTTACCCTTTGTATTCCCTACCTTGTTCTTAGTTGATAAATAAAAGAGTAAAAAACAGATCTGTGTTAGTTAAGAGTGAATAAAATTGCAGGCTTTTTTCTTTCTTATTTAATAACTTGTCACCTCTGAATTTATAAAAGGATACTGTGACGTTTACCACGTGGCCCCGGCTTGACATAGCGTGAGCAAAGGGCTCACGCTATGTCATCCCACCAGCAGATACCAATTGTGACATTCTCTTTTCCTCACTGCCACCAGTGGATTTCCTTTATCCTCACTATATAAAGAACTTTAGTCAGACACTTGTCTGGTTACTGCCAACAGAACTTATTTATTGAAGTGTATTAAATTTAATCAGAATCACAGATGTTCTTTATTCAATGCATCCAATCAAATAATTAAAATATCATATATCTTGCCACATAAGTAATCACCACCTGCTCTATTAATCTTGATCAGCTTATCTCTATTAGTATCTGTTCTCACAATCTCCCTGACTATCTGTTTCTCTCTCTCTGCAACTCCTATGTCTCTCCTTTTCATCTCTTCTGCCAAACCTTCTTATATCTGCTGACTCCGCCCCTCCACTCCTCTCATAGGCTCATGCAAATGAGATCCTGAATATGAGTGACAGGGGTGACATGGGGCAATCGTCACAGATACATTTCCAATCTTGCCCTTTAAGCAAGGTGAAACAGAAGCAAGACAGGCACATGCTAGCTATGTGGGAGTAGTGCCAGTACCACATAAATACTCTCATTTTATTCAGAGATATGGAATAAGTTTTACTCCAAAGATTAAGTAGGAAGAAAATGGTATTTGTGGTTGAAGCTCTTAAAAAGGATCCTAAAATATGGGTCTGATCTAGCCCCTTCCATTGTTGGGCATCCATGGCCCTGTCTCTGCAGGAGATAAAAGGTAACAGATGACTTCTGCATATGAAACAATCCATATACAGGGAACAGAAGCTGCCACAGGGCCCTAGATGGTTGCCTAGGTGATTAGGAAATAAGACATTATTTATTTCTGTGGATAAGTTGGCATCCTGATTGGAAACAGCAGTGGTAGCAGCTCAGGTTTTTAGAGCAGCCACCTATGCTGACTAGCTCCAAAATTAGCCGTCCCCCGTAAAAAAGAATGTTAAAGGTAAAGGTTCCCCTTGACATTTAGTCCAGTTGTGTCTGACTCTAGGGCACGAGCAGGAGGGAAAAAAAAGAATGTTACAAATTGTATACAGTACAGTATTATGAACTTGTAATGTTGCAGTTAGAAGTGAGTACTAGAAGCTAGCAATAAGAGGTTAATTGGTCTGGGAGCAAGAGAATGCATGCTCATTGTATGACTCTGGTTTTGGTATTTTAAGATACTTAAATGTGTCCCCCCCAAATAGAAAGTGAATGCTTTTCTCCCTATGTTAAAACAGAGGTTTATGGAAAGTAGTGGTAGAAGGGAAAATATCACATTTTTTAAAATTATTTTTTCTGTTTTCTTTTTGAAGGTAATGACCCCTGCTCTCCCGTCTACATCAAGGGCACATACAGTGCCTTTTAGAAGGCACCCGGGACTTCTGCATTTGGAGAGCTGTGGGGACGTGAGTACTTTTACCACTGCAAAAACCCAGCTGCTAGAGAGGAGAACTCAGAGATTAGAGCACGAACGGCCTCACAGTCTTATTGGAGTTGTCCGGGAAACAGTGCTTTGAGCTCCTCTCTCTTATCAGATGCAGTTAACAGATTAAGAATGTATTTTGTGAAAATGCAAATAGACGAGAAGGTGATTAATGTGCATTTCATCTTTTCTGCTTTTGGAAATGTTTGAGGACAAGCTTGGAAGAAAGTACTTTTACAAAAACTTTAGTTTGTTCAGATTCAAATTGTATTTTGAAAAAGGACATGCCGGTGCAGTTAGTTTATGTTAAGAATACTTTTTTATTTTAGGGATGTAGGACAAACAACTGAGCATTAATTTGTAAGGAAAAAAGCCTCTGTTTAACTTTATAAACATACACAATAAGTTCTTTATGCTTCCAGTGTCTGTGGTTTCAGTTGTGATACACTGGTACAATCAATTGTATAAAATTTTAAAAAATGAACCTAGGGTGAGTGTGTGAGCTTATATGAAAATGAAGCCATGAGCTTTTCTCTTCACCCTGTTGCTATAAGCAACATTGTTTTTCTGACTGAGTGGTACTGCACATTCTTTTGCAAGCAACACGTATCCTGAAGCCAGTCATTCAGTGGAATCAAATACATAGCGGAAAACCACTGTATTGTCATGTGTGATATTAGATTGTTATAAAGAGTTCTTGCAAAGATTGCTTAGAGTAAGTATATCTTTCAGATGTTTGGTGAAGTAGGTTGTAGATTTTTAAAGGTGCTGAATGAACATTTAGCTGCTGTTTCCTTATGGAAATGTGAACCAGTTGACAAAGGCAATGCAGAATTGCTGGAGAGGTGAGTTTGGGCAGCCTGTTGCTGTGCTCATCATACACTGGAGCACCCCTTTTTTACTTCACATTTTCTAGCAGATCCAATTCTAACATGTGTTTAATGTATCTGGTGTTGCCAATTTTACCGAGGTTAAGGTTATTGGACAAAGGCTTTTCCACTATTTAGGTATATTTGTTGGCTTTATTACTGTATTTGTTACAGATGGGTAAGACTTGCATTTCTCTTTTTCATGGTACTGAAAGTGAAAAAGTTAAGCACCAGTTTCAGCACCACGGTTAACAACTTGGGAATCTTTCTCTAGTCCTGACCCAACTCTTTAAACCTCCTTGAACTTCTTACAGAACTGATGTTGGCTGAGACAGCTTTCTAGCTAGCTAATACATCCCCTTAGGGCAGGTGAGATCTCTGCCATGAGGACAGAGGAGCCATACCTTCTCCAGAGCAGAGATGAGGTTTTGTTCTAGTCAGTTCACTCTTTCTTAACTGCTATTGAAATTTCATTTGACACATGACATTATGCTGCCTGTGTTTTTCTGCTTCCCCAAACAGTGTTGGAGAAGACACTTCATGTGCTTGGTATATATAGGTCTTTAGGTCTATGGCCTTTTATGTGAAAAGGACTGCGGAATGACTTGATCCTTTTTGTTGCATATTATGAGTGCAAGAAAAGATAAGCTATTCCAGGCCAAAGATGGGCTTCTCAACTGGCTAGCAACCCAGGTGGTGCAGTGGAAAGAACAATGGACTAGGACTCAGGAAACCTGTATCCAAATCTCCACTTATTTATAGAAATCTCACTCTAGGGTAGCCCTCGTAAAACTATTCTTTAAATATTTTACATACCTTGTAAATCTTATTAGTATGTCTGTAAGTCGGAAACAGTTTAATGGCACTGAAAATCAACTAGCTAAGACAGAGGTCCCCAACCCCCTGGGGCCGGTCCATGGCTTGAGCCAGACTGGGCCGCCGAGACAACCTGGGGCCGGTCCATGGCCTGAGCCGGACTGGGCTGCTGAGACAGACCTCCCTCCCACCCCCGCACGCACTCCCCCTGCACAGCCTATTTGTGCCTGTGCGTGAGCACTCCACCACCCTTCGTGCATGCGTGCGAGCGCACACTCCTTCGCGCATGCAGGGGGGTGCCCTGCCTTCCTCAGCCGGTCCATGGGGCTAAAAAGGTTGGGGACCACTGAGCTAAGAAACCTCTTCCAGACAACCTTAAGAGCCATGATCATCTTGACAGCATATTTACAAGGGGTTACCTTATACCAGTATTGTGCAGCACTGCCACTTTGTCTGAGCCATTGACCTTTATACAGCACATCTGCCTGAACCCAGAGCACAAAGGGAGGGCTATCTTTTCACTGTGTTTCAACGATTGCAGGAGCCTGCCTGCTGAAGAACGGTGCCCCTGTGATAAGCTCATAAGTTTGCACCCATCAGTGTGAATGCATGGAAAACGCAACCACCACCACAACAAGAAAGCAGGTTGCTGCTTGGGGTTTTTTTTCTTCTTCAAGTGGTCTATGCATTCTCAAGACTCATCCTGCTTCCCTCTTTGGCACTTATAGTGATATGAGAATGACAGTGTACTTCAAAATTTATACACTAAACGAAGAATTGCTGTAGCAAGCAGTATAGAGGAGAAAGTGGGACAGGATGAAGACTCAAGGGTTCTCTGTGTTGAGGATTCCAAAAGTGGTAGCTTTGCACAGGAATAGATGCAGCAGTGTGGAAGCATAGAAGACCACTAAAAGAACAAATGTCACAAAAAGCAATCACTCTACTCAACACAAATACAGTGGTACCTCGATTTAAGAATTTAATCCATATTGGGACTGTGTTCTTAAGTTGAAGCACCATTTCCCATAGGAATGCATTGAAAATCATTTAATCCATATTTGCTGTTTTTTGTTCTGAAGTCGAGGTGCTGTTCTTAAGTCGAAACATTAATTCCCATAGGAACTAATGCAAAGCCTATTCTACCACTAGGGGGCGAATTTTTTATTTTTTCTTCTTTTCACTTAAGGTGAACGTAGGTCAAAAAAGGGCAGGAAAGGGTTTTTTTCTCTTTTTTGGTTCTTAAGTCAAGGCTCCGTTCTCTAGTCGAAGCAACTTTTTGTGAACAGAGCTGTTCTTAAATCAAATCGTTCTTACGTAGGGACGTTCTCAAGTCGAGGTACCACTGTACACAAATATGATGATCACCTCTCACTGTTGCTTCTTTCGCAGCAAGAAGAGAACTGTCAGGGCATAGCTGCTTGTGTGTACATGAGAGGTGGTGTTCCTGTCCAAACTCTGCCCAGTGGCAGAACAATCCAAGAGAGTCTGTACAGGTGGGAGTCTCACAAGTGCAAGCCCATGGAAAACCACTTGAAGAACCACATAGCTAAGCAACCCCAGGAAACAAAGATAATGAAGAAACATGGCAAAACTGTCATATTGACTTATGGCAGTTTTCTCCTTCCATGACTCCTAAACAATAGTCAGAATCCTATTGGTTCTTGTGTGACTTTATGTGTCTAATTGCAGCTCCCTGGCAAGGTGCTTGGGTGTGCCTTGGTTGCATGTTTGGACACATACACTGTGCAGTCAAGGTGCACTTGGCACCTTGTGAGTTAACCAGAATTATCTGTAGCAAGTTGGGCAGACCCTACACAAACACACAATTCCAACCAATGTGTTTTCCCCAAGAAATAGAACATGCCTAATAGAAAACTATAAAACTGAAATATGAAGAAGAATGTGCTAGTTAAACTTTCCTAAAAAAAAGGTTTACATACAAACGTCCAATGTAAAAATGTAAAGTAAAAATAAAGAGTTGGTAATATGCCTGCTCCCCCCTTAAAGCATGTGACAATAGAGAATATTGCCCCCCATGAGAGGAATAGCAGAAGCACAAGCAGAACTAGAATTCTGACTACTTCTGAAGAGTGTACCTAAGGTTTAGCTTGATGCAAGTATAGAATTAATTTCACAGAGAATTTACTTGAGAAGTACTGGGGTGGTAGTTGTGAGCAGCCTACAAAGATGCAGGTAGTTATCAAAAAATAGTTTCCAGTTGTCCTGGGACGTACAGATAACCCCTTAAAAGCCGTTCAGCTCCAAAAAAATCTATTCCTGACGTTGTTTCAGCAGTTCTAACTCTGCAAATGTTCTAACAGGTTTACTCTAGAGTAAACATACTTGTTCTTCTTCATGGCCTATGTGAATGCACACAATTTGATTGTTCTGCACCTGCGCAGGCCAACCCAATTGTGTGAATTCACAGAGGACCACTAGAAGAACCATGGTTACAGGTAAGTAACCTCTCTTTTCAACTTTTCAGAAGTCAAACTACATTAACATAGTTACTGCATAATCATCTTGATGGTTTCATGAATGCTACACAATTGGAAGGCAAAAATGATGAAACTAAGTCTGTCCTACTTTGGGGGTACATCCTGCGAAGGCAAGATTTTCTGGAAAATACAATAAGGCTGGGAAAGGTAAAAGGCAGCAGGAAAAGAAAAAGACTGAATATAAGACTGACTCTTTAAAAGAGATTGCACAGGCTTGAGTTTGTAAGAACTGAGCGTGACTGTTGAGGACAGAATATTTTGGAGACTGCTTATTATAAGGTTGGACATGGGACAGATTGGATTTGTCTTCAGTGTTGAAGGGACTGTCACTCTCGAATTGGCCTTCTCAGACACACTAGACACTGTTCCAAGACCTCCCATACAGAGCATGTTATCATAATCTCTCGAGACTGAAAGATGCCTACTACTATTATAAGGTTACCATGAAGTTGTAGGTGACTTGATGGCACTTACCAACAACAACATAATTAAGATTAAAACAATTTACAGATTTACTGATATGTTGAAATATTTGAAAGAGAAATGAATGGCAGCTTTCTGCAAAAATGAGAGTGGCTAGAATGGGAATTCTTGGGGGGAATTCTCTCCCCAATATGGATGTAAAGGTTTATGGAATTCTGGATGGTTGAAATAGTTCAATGGGAAGAAAATCTTCCAAAAAAAAAAAAAATCAGGAGTCTCAACTGTGAGCAATGCCTTTTAAAGGTATGTTTTTATTGTTGCAAATTTTACAGACATCAGCACTCTGTTAAAGGAATGTAGCACATGTAAATACATCACAACAAAACAGAGGCCAACAAAAATAGAGTAAAAAACAAAAGAAATCCCCCAAACCACTGCAGTTGTATTACAGAGAAAGGGGGGGGGAGACACCTGTGACGAGAGTCTGAAATATTACATTCAGTAGGTGTGCAGTATCAACATTCCTGGCCCACATTTATATATATATATATTTATATTTATATAGAGCTCATCAAGTTTAGTGTTTACAAAGAACAATATTGTTACAAATACAATACCATATTTCTTCAATGCTTTTCAATAATTTCTATTCACTTTCTTTACAGAACAATAGTACAATTTAGTATTCTTTAGTACTGTGCTCTCTTTTTTTGTATATACACGCACGCATACTTGTCATCTTCCAACAAAGATCTCTTTTTATTCCTGGAAGTACAAAGAACTCCCCTCCCTATCCCCAAAAGCCCTGCACTTGGAAAATTGCGAAACATATTGCAAATTATAATGTAATTCAGACGTACACACCAAAAAATGGTAAACGGCGAGGCAATTTCAATCTTATTGTAAACATGGTAGAATTTAATAAAATATACAAATAGGCAACTGTCATACTTGCTGGATTTTTATGAACCGGAACAACTGTAAATTGTTCCTTTGATCCCATAGAAAATGTTACGGCTTCTATAGTTAAGTATTCAAAACATCAATTTTCAAGCTAATGTATCACCTTTCAGTTTATATTGTTGTTACAGTTCTATTCTGGAAATTGGTTCACAAGATAGATTTCCCTGATGCACATACAGCACTTCAACTGTCAATGATTCATCTGAATGGTGGTGTGTGTAAGTAATCATTTCTTGGACTGATCTCTGTGACTTCAAGAGCTGTTTCCCCCAGCTTCTGCAAACCTGAGGATCAGTGCAACTGAATTCTTGACTCACTGCCCCTTCCCCGGCAATATGTGTGCATACTGAAGAGTCTGAACCAGCCCATATTCATCAACTACAGAGACCATCTGTTCAAGTAACAAGAAACAGTACAGAAGAGATATGGGCATTGATGGAGTTATTCACACAGAGTATATTCATCTGAATAAGTTAATGGTGATTGCAGTTGAGAACATGCCCCAAGTTAATACAAGCATTTGTTTGCTAGATTTTTAAAAAAATATGTATTGTATTCTCATTTGTATTTATCCTGATCAATCTCATGGAAGTCTGTGAACAGAAGCCTCTATAGAGCAAACCTGAAATGCAAGTAAATTCTCTTCTTGGAGTAAAAAAAAATTGCAAGTGCTTTGACTTCTTCATTTAGACAATTTCTGGGAAATCTGGTCTGTATACAGAAACAGAAGAGATGCAGAATAGAAGGACACTGTTGATTGAGTGAAGAAGAAAGGAAGAAATAGAGATAATGAAGTCACGGTGTATCTCTGATGGAAAGAAAGCTACAGATTTGAGAGTAGTAAGATGAAATGGAGTATGTTGTCTAATATAAACTATATATAGTACACACTGTATAAAAATGAATACTACGCATACACATATGGGAACTTTACTTGTGTGGTCTTTTGTAAAGCAGGTGTCTATTAAAATTCACCGTATTGGATGTTCTCAGTCTAGATAACGTGAGATTTAAAACTAATATAAAATATAGGAGCTCTAGACAGGTATACAACCCGTTTGCTTGAGGCACAGAGATCATAATGAGGTATCTCTATTATTTAACAGGGTAGTTCTGCAATGTTTTTAAATGGAATATAATCATTTCTTATGTCACTACTACTTTTTTCAAAGTCAAAAGAGGTTGGCTTCTTTTTCCTAATTTATTTTAGATGTGAAAATTCAATTGCCACTGATTTGCTTCAGTCTAACTAGAAAAAGAGGAGAGGGACAGAAACACATATAATAAGTTAAAACCCTATGTGTGAGTAGGCATATTTTCAAAGAACCTTTTGTTCATTCTTCTCTTACTGCATCTGTATCACATCTAAATAATTTGAATAGGTACTGGATTTAAGTAAAGTAATTAAGCACATAAATCTATCTTCTTAAAGGGTCCACTTAATCTTGTTTTGTTCTTTAAAAATTGCAACCTTTTAAAATATTCAATTGTTCCATGTCTTTTCAAACATGAAGCTACTTGGTTTGCTGACCAGGTTCATACCCGCTGAGGTTAAATACATTGATCAAACTCGACAGCTCAGTGGCTGTCAATCTGAAGTCACACTGAAACAAGTACAGCTGATCCTGTGCAGAGTTACTGCCCACTGACTACAGAGGGTACAGGTGTACCAAGGACGGGGTTGCAGAGCTGGTCTGACTGGAACATACTATTTTACCTACTGCATATTGTTTCTCTGTTGCCAAAAGATAGGCAATATGATCTAATCATCTACAAGTCTTTTGCAAATAAAGAATTGACGCTCCTATTTTCTCAGGTCCTATGATGCATGAGGTCTGGAACACCTAGGTGCTACAGTAATGTTATGCCTCCCTAACAATGTGCTCGCATCACAGTCACGGTAAGCAGTTCAAGGTTCTATTATAGTAGGAGCCCCTCATCCTCTTAAGAGTTCTTAAGTTTCTTGTAGGGAGTGGGATTCACATGCATTCACACACTAACACTCATGCAGGGCATGAAGTCCCAAGGAATACACCATCACGTATCTATGCAAAGTGTGTGCAATGCACATCCATGCAACATGCAAACACCCAACCCCTTCCCTTGCTACACCAGTGTTGCCCTCATTATTCCTTATTTACTTTTTTCCTACCCCCTACACAAATATTAAACAGGTTTCAGAAGGATAACTAAGTTAAGTTTGTCACAGCAAAACCAACAGAGAATACTGGGACACCTTAAAGGCCAAGACATATATTGTGACTTGTGAGTGAATTTTTCCTGGGGCCCAAACCCCACAAAGTTCTGCCATAATAAATGTGTACGTGTTTAAGGTGCCACAGGACCTAGGCTTTTGTTTGCAAAATAGTTTTACTACAAATACTACAATCAGCTGACCTGCTGTTTAAATACCATTACCAAAACTTTTTGGAATATTCTTTCATTGCACAAGCATCTACAGTAACTCAACATACTCTCTTAGCATCCCATGTGTGGGATTAACTTTACATATATTTATATATATATTCATATTTATATATATATATTCATATATTACAAAATAAATTATACCTTCCACTATTCTAATAAGGTCCAAAATGAAAGAGATTTTGTCCTTTTTTAAAAAAAATCAAATACACACATTTGAACCAAAGATATGTTAAAAATAAACTGGCTCAGAATAATGAAACAATCTTAAACTTGTATGCAGACTGTAAAAAAAAGCCATACAGTTTTCAAATGTGACATATTAGCTCACATACATAAATATATTTCCAAAATTTTAAAAAAAGAAAGTTAAGATTTGACAGTGTTCCTCCTCACTCCTATACTGTTTCTGTTTGATATTTTCAATTTTATCAAGCAAACTTGGAGAAAAAGAGGGAATAAAAAAGCTATTTGCCAAACAACCCAAGCTGCATCTAAAAAATCAAGGACTCTTGGAAAAGAAGGAAGGAAAGGCTTAGATCCCAGGGAGGAAAATTCTAAAAACACATCTCCCTCAGACTATGCATATTTTAATTCTAGAGTCTTTTCTTCATGAGATAGAATGTCTCACTAACAGGCTCCCAATACACAGACACCCAGCAACACTGGGAGAGCAGAGCCCACCTGAAAGGTGGGTTATCCAATTGTCTTTTTCGAATTTAACGACTTCTCAGAGCAAAATTATCCCTTTGTTGCTTTCCTAGCATAAATATTAGAGCAACGTCCTAGGATAAACAGATCAATATCTTGTTTTATTACTCCCAGCTTAGAATCCCATTTTGATAAAAAGAGCTTTCTCATTTATTTCCATTCAACATACATATTTCCCATCTTAGCAGACACAAAAGCATAAAATGACAATGATCTAGCCTGAATGCTTGTGCGTGTGTGTTAGAAAAAAAATCTTGGTTATTTTTCTGCTCAGTGAAGAATCACACAAGCTCTAGTAAGTAAAAAGGTGCAACCCAAAATGTCATCTTGCACACAGAGGAATGAGGAAAAGTGAGTAAAAAGAGCAAGAGAAATGTTGCTGCAAACACCAAAATGCAGCACAAGAAAACACTACAAATGAAAAATGTCTTCCATTAGCAGCAGAATTAACTTCAGATGTAAACTGGCTGTTCCTGTGCAGTCAAGAGTCTGTACATGGCAGCTGGCATGGTCTTCATGTGAATCTGAAAGAAGGAAACAAATACTGAGTTTTTGTTCCCAAGATAATAACAAAAAGTTGCACATTTTATGTTTTGGGATGCAGAGTTTCTTTTCTGCAAACAGGACAGTTTCTTTATCATCTTCTGTTTCTACTGCGAAAGAAACTTGAGCAGACAATCCCACAAATATAAAAGCAAATTGAGCAGTACAAACTAGGATGTGGCAATAAACATATACATACATTTCAAGTCAACATTTTTAAAAATACCAGTTATAAACCATCTAACATTCATAAGCAGTAATATACCAACAAAAACATACAGTTCCTTCCACTGCTCCAGTAATGTAATACAGTACTTGTGAAGTTGGTATTTTATATGTAAAGAATGCTAAAAGAACAGTAGTGTAAAATACTGCAATCCTGAAAATATACACTGCACTTAAGAAAATTAGGTTTGAACAGCAACGTACTATGGGAATTCTTTCCTAGTAAGCTAGCACCTGCACATGGATGTGTAGACAACACTGATAAAATCAAAATGTCAATAGAAGTCCTACACATAATGAAACTCCTAGAGTACTGTGATACAGTTGTAATGAATTGGTAACTCCCAGATTCCTTTACCAACATTCTGTTCTTAGCAAAGTTGTACCAAAGAAGTTCACTAGGGTAGTAATTAGTTCACATACTAGTCTATTGCTGTAGCAGGTATTCCAGGAAACAAGTCAAAACTTAAAGATAAGTTGTTTTTTTCAGGAGTTTGCAAAAATACTAAAAGGAATGTAGATTTCCTTGGAAAATTTAAGTAAGGTACGTTAGTATGTTAATTTGATGTCCCAGAAGACCTCAGATGTTGACAATTGAAGAGATAAATAAATCAAAAAGATGCAAAATCCAGATAAAAAGACAGCTGAGGCAAGGAGCACAGGATGGGAGGAGAGCACCTGCAGAGGGGATGAAACTGCTGGGGCTTAAGAATTTTTATAATGCTTGATATGCTTATGTAACTGCTTATGCTTTAGTAATGAAGATACTAAAATAGATGTGACTTAAAGAGATACTTCAAGTTTAGTTACTATGCTTTGGTAATTATTACATTTTCATAGGTACAGTGGTGCCTCGCACAGTGACGATAATCGGTGCAGCAAAAATCGCTGCAAATATTAAAAAGCCCTTAGGAATGCACTGAAACCCCTTCAATGCATTTCTATGGGCTTCAGACTCACTTTTAAGCGAAAATCCTCCATATGGCGGCCATTTTCGCTGCCCGGTAAGCGAGGAATCCGTCCCAGAAAACAGCGGGCGGCCATTTTTTTACCCGGTGGCCATTTAAAATCAGCTGTTTAAAAATCATCGCTTTGCGATGAGCAGTAAGTGAAACAGGGTACCGATCATCGCAAAGCGATTTTTTCCCATTTAAAACATGAATGTCCTGGACCATTATCCTGTTATTAGTCACAAACAGAAAATACTCACTGACACAATGGGATTTACTTTAGCAAAAATCTTACTGACTTACTCTTCATCAACTGATTTAATGGGTCTGCTTTTCTTTTTCTTTTTTGAACTAGCAATAGGATACAGGCCCTTATGCTGGCCTGTAATCTAACTTGGATGAGTCATAATTAAATAAAAATTTATATAACGAATGAACAAATTAAGAGAACAACATAATCCACCTTTTTAACACTAGTGTTATGGTGTCTAGAATACTGGATCTAGGAGATCTAAATTCAAAGCTCTGTACTTTCTAAGTTGCCCTACTTCTTAATCTAACTTTCTGTATTGCATGATCAAATGCAAGCCCTGAATTGCTTGGAGGAAAGGCAAGATACAATAGCAGTCAATGCTAGTGCCCTGCTGCCCATCAAGAGGTCCCAAATCTTGACCAAAGTGCTACAGAGCCGCTCAACATAGCAAAACTTTCCTGCCCACCTTTGCCTATTTTTCAGGTGATGGCCAGAAAAACACAATAAAGCCAACACTTCATTAGAGGAAGACTTGAGAATTACCAACTCCTACCTCACCAACAGCATTTGAGAGAATGTGAACAATCTTTTCATGAGGTGTTGCTACGACACTTTGCCCATTTATTTCAATAATTCGGTGACCCACTCGTACTCCTCCTCGTTCTGCAATCCCTCCTCGCATAAGGCTACAGATCTGGAAAGGCAACAGGGATAACATAGAATGCTGGGTGCTGAAAATGTAAAACGGCAAACGCTTAGGTTAGACAAAGGCTAGGAAATCCATAGCCCTGCAAGTCTTCTTGGATTCTCAATTCTCATTAGCCATAGCCTGCCAGGATAAGGGTAAAGGATGATGGGAGCAGTAGTTCATCAAAATCTGCAAGCCACAGGTTTGGCCACCCTCAGTGAGGTGAAGGACAGATTCACGCCCACACAGTTAATGACAATTACTTTATTAATGCAGCATCACACGGGACCCTACTTGTGTAGAACTACCACTGCAAGTAAATATTGCAGAAACTGCTGGCAGTACTTCAGAGTATTCTAACCTGGGGTAAGCAAACGTCAGAGGCCCAGGGGTTCCACATGCCTGTTCTTGGACTTTGAAGGGCATCAGCCATGCCTGCAACTCCCAATTTTTTTTCTAACTAAAATGTTATATTTTTAAAATGAAAAAAGCCTCCTTGTCAATTTTTTAAATTTAGAAATTGGGGACATGGGAGCCGGCTTCTAGAGGTCCCTCAAATCATGGCAAAACTTCCCCATGCTCCCTTCTGAGCCTTTTTTGTGGTGGCGGTGGGGAGTTCCCAGGTTTCTAGCAATGCTGCAGGTAACATGTGGTCCATGGGCCAGCAAAGTGTCCACCTATTTTAAATGGAGGCTGTTTATACCAAATATACACATCTTTGGTCAACACATTCACCAGAACAAGTGCAGCAAGCACATTCTTCTCTCCTTCCCTATAGAGATGATGTAACTGATGAGCTGAGCCAAAGGTTGTAAATACTACTTTTCTGGATTCCATCTCCCCAAATTTCCCGTTGGGCACAGCCACTGGCCAGGCTACATGGGGGATTCTGGAACTCTTCTCTGATGGTTCTTTTCCTCCAACCATTTCTACAAGAGCAAGATCACATGAACAGGGGCTCCAGCTAGGCACTGGTCTCATAATCCTCAGTATCACTGGTGTGATAGAGAAGGACCCACTGCTCTTCCAGCATGGAAAAACAGCCACACTTAACAGGAGCAGGGCACAGGGTTAGAAATCACTGCAAGGAGGATACATCTGACTCATTGCTGGGTTATTAAAAAAAAAAAAAACAGTCATGGCCAAAACTACTGCCACCCTTGCAATTCTGTCAGAAAACGCAACCCTTCTCTCAGAAAACTTGCAGTTGCAAATGTTTTGGTACTCATGTGTTCATTTCTTTGGTTTATTGCAACAACACACACACACACACACAAAAGAAAAGTCAAACCTGATACAATCCCACCCAGAAACCCAAAAATGGACCAGTGCATTTTTGGGTTTCTGTGTGGGATTGTATCAGATTTGACTTTTCTTCTCTTTTTTTGTGTGTTGTTCCAACGCAAACCAAAGAAATGAACATGTGAGTACCAAAACACTTGCAACTGCAACAGTTTTCTGAGAGAAGGGTTGTGGAGGGTGCCCTTACAGAGCCTGAGTGTCATTGACACCATGGGAAAGGGACTTATTCTTGAGGTACACTTTTAATGTCAGGGATGATCATTGGCAGTTTTTAATGTTAACATAACCTTGAGTATTCAGATTTCTTCTTCGTACTTCTGAATAACTACAACCATGTCCTGCAGACCTAGGATTAACAGGCATGGCAAATTTTAATCCTAGTACCTCATATTTGACAAATTAATCACTGGAATGTCCTTTCCCAACATGACATCCTCCAGATATGCATGCACTCTGTGTAACCTGTCCTCTTGGACTGCATCACCTCAATTATCTAAGGTAATTTAATCAACATCTCATATATTAATCTCCACTGTTTAACTCCCCAAGTTACTTGTTCATTTACATTTTAAATTCACTATCAGGTCTTTAATTTTAATTTCCCCTAATACACAGATGGAGTCAGTATGGTATGGTGACTAGATGGTCAATCTAGGACTCAGGGGGTCTAGTTCAAATTCCTCCTCAGCCATGGAAATTTACTGGGTGGGTATATGCGCCAGTGGTAAAGCCACTCCTTGAATATACCTTGAAAACCGTATTAGGATTGCCTTAAATCAGAAGTGATGATGGCTCAACACAAAACATGCAGAGAATGATGCTTTTTGCTGGGATTCTGTTCACACAAAGACTAAACATGTTGAAATTAACTGTCCCTTTACTATTATTTTGTTCTGACAGTAGATAGGAGTACAAATGCGACTTACTATGCCGTTCTGTACGCTGAAGCCTAGCTGATATCTGAGGTCTGGTCTTCTGATGAGTACTGTAGTTACTGGAGGACATCTCACTATATTCAGTTTAACCCTGGCTTGGTTTTTCAAACCCTTGAAAACAATACAGTAGAGAAAAATTCGTGTTATTTTCACAAATTCTGTGCTGAAGCTATACTTTACCTTAGCAGATCAACCTGATATGCATTTTGGTAACATTTCGCTTAATCTGTTCCACTTGCAATTCCAAAACTTAAAGTCTACAAATAAAAAAAACATTTTCTGAACAATTTCTTTTATGACAGTAAGAGTAAGGGAAGAATACACATTTCTAGTACTAATACTACAGTATTTACTGATGAGAAACATATGAAGAGATTAGGGAGACGGCGTGATAACTCCTGGTGAATCTGAGGCAATCTGTTCTCCAGACAGCCTTTATCACATTTATCTTGATTTTGGCAAGGTTGTTTTAAAAAAAATCTGGAAAACTCAGCCCCTGCCTTTTCATTTTCATGTAGACAGTTAATTTTTACATCATTTCAGGCTAGCATATTTTTTCCACCTAATCTTTGCTAACTGTTCCTCTAAACATGTAACATTTTTAAAACCTGGATAGCCAAAAACCTCACCTCCAACTAGCAAATACGTTGTGTGCATACAATTTTTATCATGGCCTTTGGAAAGACAGGAAAAAGACTTTCGCCTGAAAGCAACCCACTTACACCAAAGGCCTATCTATTCATGTATTTAACCTTTCAATTTGTGGTTTGTTTTTCCTGCCAATGCCCTTACCTACTTATCAATATTCAAAAGAGTTCTATGTGAAATGATCCCCCAGAGAGCTCCAAATGGCAGGGTGCTTTTTCCACTCTCATCTTATATACACTCCCAGGCTGAGCTTGCTTCTCGTCAATCAAAGAGATGAGGAGGCAGGTGTGGGAAGCCAAGACAGTAAATAAAACTACAACCTGTCCCCGACACGAGGAAAAGGCACTCAACAGCCATCTGGCATACATGTTCATTCTTGTATACAGCTTTCATCCTGGGTGGCTGGGCCTTATTTACAACCCCATACAGTGGTGCCTCGCTTGACGAGGATAATCTGTTCCAGCAAAATCGCTGTAGAGCGAAATCCTCATCAAGCAAAATAAAAAAGCCCATTGAAATGCACTGAAAACCGTTCAATGTGTTCTAATGGGTGAAATACCTCAGAGTCCAGCGAAGATCCTCCATAGGGCAGCCATTTTCTGCTCCCTGTACAGTGAGGAATCCGTCCCAAAACACAGCGGGGAGCCATTTTGCACAGCGGGTGGCCATTTTGAAGACCCGACGATCAGCTGTTTTGATTGTCGCTAAGTGAAAAATCGGTTCCCGAAGCAGGGAACCGATCATCGTAAAGCGTTTTTTCCTATGTAAACATCGTTTTGCAATCGCTATAGCGATCGCAAAAAACCCATCGTACAGCGAAAAACTGTCATGCGGGATAACCGTCTAGCGAGGCACCACTGTATGTGCTGCCTTATTCAGACTGAAATACCCTTTGTGCTCCCTCTGTCTGCCTACCCTTTAGCCTCTTAAAATACAAAAAAAAAATAAAAGAAATGAAATGACATCCTAAGAACCTACAGATTATGTAAAGGATGTAAATAATTATTTGCAAATGTTTACATTCTAAGTTAAAAAAAAGAGAGGGGGGTATCTCAAAATGTGGAAACTAGCATTGTGAATCTTGGTTTCTCCCTGTTCCACAGCTTTCTATAATTTTCTGCCTCTTCTCATCTGGGATTTCCCGGCCAGCAAATGCCCTCAGTTTCTTCTCATGTAAATCTGCACATAATTTCTTGGATAATGTACAGGAACTGATGCCATTTGCTGCAGGATTCTTTATCAGCACCTGGATATGCAAAGAAATAATGGCTACAATCCTGTCTGTTCAGGAGGTAACTAGTGCTAGCAATTTTCAGTAAGGCTCCCCCTCCCCAATCCCATGGCCTCCAGCGTCTTCCCCATGATGAAAGGGATTGCATTTGGTACTTTTAGCAGAGGAGAGGTCAGAAATATTTTCAGAAAAAAATGCCAAACTGATGATGTCATCAACCTAACTCAGCACTGCTATGCAAACGGGATTTCAGCCACAGAACGTTTATTTATTTATTTATTTCATTTATTTATTTCATTTATACCCCGCCTATCTAGTCAATTATGACCATTCTAGGCGGCATATTGCCTCTGAGCACTGGTTATTATGAGCCATTGGTCATTAAGGATAGAATAGCAAATAACAAAGGTTTTCATTACCTTTCATTTTGCAGAGGCAAACCCTCTCAGTTAGTAATCATGGATCTTTTCCTTCTGACACTTCCCTTATAATGGGATTCAGTTTGTTGTCACATTATTATATTACATCACAAAGCATCTATGACTATGTTACCTTTCTGACCCTCCCCCTGGGCTTCAGAACACAAGCATTTTTGCCCTTCTCATTGATTTTCTGTGCTAGTTTAAGTCTGATAGTCATGTACTCCTTGTGTCTGAAAGTATTATCCTCACTAGATTTTTGCATCTCTTTTCTGCACTGGTCCTTTTCACATTCAAGAACCAGTATAACAGCTTGAAATTGAAAAGAGAACCGAGGAGATATGAAAACTCTGTGCTGGTTAATACTTCAGGCACAAGCAGCACAAGACTGTTAAGATAAACTATGCATAGAAATTGGTGAGAAGTGCTGCTCCAAGATAACCCATAGTCTCTGTGACTCCCCACTGAACCAAAATACCAAAAATCACTGAGATTAAAAAACAATTGCTGAATACTCATTACATCTCTGATCTAGATATCCTACTAATCAAGTCAGTCAACTGATGTGAGATTTTTTTGCTCTTGTATAACATTAAAACAACCAGCATCTTTATAAACTTCTTTTGCATTAAAAGATTGTACGTTGTATATAAAGCACTTGGTGTTTTGCATAAAATACAAGCAGGGTTGCACATTAATAAAAAAGCACTGTGCCATCTAGAGCTTTGCAAGTTGTTCTGAACTATGCTCCAAAGCATACAGGAAAAACAGCGCAGATGTTTTAGATTGGGTGAATATGAAATGCAGTATTAATATTGAAGCAGATATCCTGTTTATTGATGCTGTCCTGTGGACTACTTGACACTACCAACGATTTTTCAAAAACTGACCCACAAACAATAGATTACAGTGGGGTCTCTACTTAAGAACTTAATCCGTATTGGAAGGTGGTTCTCAGGTTGAAAAGTTCTTATGTTGAATCTGCATTTCGCATAGGAATGCATTGAAAACCATTTAATCCGTATCTGCTCTTTTCCATCCATAGAAACTACAGTGGAACCTCTACTTAAGAACTTAATCCGTTTTGGAATGGTGTTCTTAAGTTGAAATGTTCTTAAGTTGAAGCAAAATTTCCCATAGGAATGGACTGAAAACCAATTAATCCGTTCTGGCTGTTTTTTTGTTATGTAGAGGTGCGTTCGTACATTAACCAAAGCTGGTTAATACGTACTCTACCACTATGGGGAGAATTTTTTTTTAACCTAAGATGACCTAAGGTTAAAAAAAGAGCAGGAAAGGTTTTTTTCCTGTTCTTATCTTGGATTTCAGTTCTCAAGTAGAAGCAAAATTTAGCAAATGGAGCTGTTCTTAAGTTGGATTGTTCTTAAGTAGGGACGTTCTTAAGTAGAGACCCCACTGTACAATAACCTAATACTGATATTTGCCAAGTATGGCCACTGATAAAATCATGTTTCAGGAGAAGGTGCAAGTAGAGCACCAATCCCAGCACAGACGGGCAAAAAGATCCTATTGTTAAAGTACTGAAATCCACACAGAGGTACAAAAGTTCCAAGAGGATCATGTTACCACTGACCAATGCAGTTTGGGTATTAGAACCAGATCTGAAGACAAACTGAACTGGATCTAGATCAGTGGCTTCCAAGCTTGATTCCCCAAATGGTGTTTGCCCACAGAAGCTCTGGTAAGAACAGCCAAAGTTCAAGACTTCTAGAAGGCTATTGTTCAATAATGTCTGGGGACCCAACTTTGGGGACCACATACATAATTTTCAATCTCCAAAATCTTCCGGAATAGATCCACTTCCACCCACTCAAGCAGAACAAACACGCAACTGGTGGAGAGTGGATACAATTTGAAAGATCCAAAATCATGAATCTAACCACTGCCTTCTTCAAGAGAGCCAGGATTATTCCCTGTATTAATGAAGCAGTTACCAGCTCCTCAATACAACTGACAAATCCTCCTCCCTCCCAACCTGGCAATATATTCCACAGGAAAGCACAGGCGATGGAAAATCTCATCCACCATATCAATAGTCTTTAAAACCACCCCCTCTAGCGGATCAGTTCATGGTTCCTGCCAGAAAGAGAGAAAGAGAAGTGACCTCTGTGCATTTCAGTTGGCACAGGATAAAATGGGAAGGACAAGAGCCTGAATACCACTTTGAGGGAAGGCATGATATGACTGAAATAATAAAACAAATGGTTATAGATTAATGTGAGTAGAACAGATACAAATGCACTACTGGCCCTATGGCTAATAACAAAAAGCTAGATCTGCTTTTCTCTTGAGAAGAATTATAAAGCCACGATTTACTGTATTATTTCATTTCACATCAGGCCAACTTGATAACCACCACAGATTTTTAGAAATTATGACAACCCATTGAACAAATAAGCAAGTCTCTAGTTTGCCGGCCTGACTTCATATATACATACACCAACAATTCATTTTAGAAGGAGACACATAAAGATTCAGGTAAGCTTGCATTTTGAGATGCCCATCTGTGGGCCATTCACTGCTAGGAAATATAAACTATCCCCATAACAGCTGAAAGATCTTGCAGGAAAAGCAGGATGTTGCCTATGAGACATGGTGGTATCTCTATAGCAACAATGAAAGCAGCAATGTTTCTCTAATGATTAAGAACTGAGAGAAAAAGAGCAGTAGGGTAGTTAATCATTATAAGAGCAGATAAATATAATAGCAACACAATGGCCACTGATTCCATGACCAGAGCAGGAGATCCAGAACAGTTCATCCCAATCCTGTAGTCACAGGGAGGCAGGAAGCAATTTATCATTGGACTCCTTTTATGGGGTGGGGAAGAGCATACACAGAAGTTCAAGTACAGTAGGCAACTGGAAAACGCTATCTCTCTTTAGCCTGCTGAAGAGTTAACAGCCTTGATCACTACATCCATTCCTTGTTGGGACATGCACAGCCAGGATCCTGTTTTACATCAAGGGCATCTTCCATACCTTTATGATACTCTGGCAAGTAGAGAGTGGTAAGCCAACCAAACTGGTCCCATTGATAGACATGATCTGGTCCCCTATGTTCAACTTTCCAGATTTCTCAGCAGGTCCTCCATGCATCATATTGGCAATGATAACAGTAGGCAAGATGGATCCCCACCCAGATTCTACAATCACCACACCCAGGATTTCTCCCTTCTGTTTCTCAATGAAAACCTGAATAGGAGGAAAAAAGAAAGGAAGAGTGATCATTTTTCTCTGTGAAATGTAGGATGCTGGACATGGCCTCCTAAGTCCCCATCTGGCAAGTATTTCTCCCTCCCATCAGCAACTAAATCAGTGAAAATGTCTGAAGACTCACTTAAAAAAAATAACGTATGAATGTATTAATCACGCACTAGTGGAGTGGAAAAAAAGCAAAGTAGCACATTACTATTATTACTATTGTTGCTTTAGGTAAAGGTAAAGGTTCCCCTTGACATTTTTAGTCCAGTCGTGTCCGACTCTAGGGGGCGGCGCTCATCCCGCTTTTCAAGCCATAGAGCCAGCGTTTGTCCGAAGACAGTTTCCATTGTCACGTGGTCAGCTGTTTACCTTCCCACCAAGGTGGTCCCTATTTATCTACTCGCATTTACATGCTTTCGAACTGCTAGGTTGGCGAGGAGCTGGCCTGGGCATGACTGTACTAGCAGGAACACACCCTGAAATGCAACCTACTCCTTATTAATAAGTCACAATTTGCCATTAAGATATGCATGATTTTCCTTTGCTTTAGATACCACCAAAATAAAGCTTTTGTCAGTTTATTCTTTAATGTGCAGTGTTCAGCATTTTATCAAGTTAAACAATGTGGTCAGAATCCTACCACCCACTGACCCCCTCCCCCATGCAAAAGGAAGTTGTGGCAGCAAGTTGCCACTCAAAACTGAGGCACTGGTTGTGTTACTGGCCTGGGCATGATTGTACTAGCAGGAACACACCCTGAAATGCAACCTACTCCTTATTAACAAGTCACAATTTGCCATTAAGATATGCATGATTTTCCTTATGCAAGTGTAAATCAGCAGTACAATTCTGGCCACTGAGGGTTTTTCCCCAGTATTCTTACCAACCTGCTATGTCTACTATGTCTACAAAAGTGAAGCTGATTATATTAGCAGGCCTTTTTTGTCATATTGCACTAATGCACAGCCTGCCAAATATTTGACGGCTGCTTCTTAAACAGAGCACACAACATACGGTAAACTATCCATTTATCCAGTGCAGATAAAGCCACTGCAATCTGTTTTCTCTTTTTACAAATAATATCTGTGTGCGGACTGCTGTTCATAACTCTAGCCTTGTCTAGAGGGTGAAGAATCTGCTGCTCTCTACGGACAAAAATCATTTACAGGGATCTCTAATGAACGGATAATTGTTATTACCATTAGGTTGCCTAGAGGGATTTATTAGCTCAATGTAACTGAACATGTTTAGATTTTGATATGAAAATGTATTAAATATTAACGTTATATAGTTAAATGTCAAATGGCTGATTTTACCTGAGTCACTGTACTGATTGTATTCAGGCGTCGGTATCAAGGATTAAGATTTAATGTTGTACAGCTGTGTACATGATGAAACTTGGTGTAACAGAAAATGAAGTACTGTAATGTATTTTCTGATTGGTCACAGAACTGTACATAAGTCGTGTAAAATGAACATCTTTATCTGCTGTAAGTCAGATCACTTTTTCCTATGCTGTGTGTTAACTTCGTGTCATGTTATGCTGCCAGAGGAATGTCTATTCTCTATGTGCATATGTAAATAGACTTATTTGTTGGTTTTACTCTCTCAGTGTCATAGTGTCATAAGTATCTCTGCTAACCAATATCTCCTTACTCTGCTGATGCTATGGGAATACACGTTATAATCAAAATTCTCAACACCTACATCTTTGCAGTTTTCAGACTTAGAGAAATGGATCAGGTCATCATTGTACATGTCCTGGGTGTTGAGAAGGTCACTGTATTCTTTCTGGCTCAAGTCTTCTGGATTTATTCCATTGGCTCTCAGAAATTCCTGATAGGCCACACTAAATGCCTGGCCTATGGACTGTGCAATTAGCTGTGCCTGCAAAAATTGACAAGAAAGAAAGAAAAAAGAAAGAAAGAAAAGAAAAGAAAGAACATTAGAGCAATGACATTGGTTCATGATGGCAAATGGAAGCCAGAATAGCCATATAAAGTGGCTTTTGAACAAGTGATTAGTGATAGAGGTGCAGCCACTGAATACATATGTTGGGTATGATAAATCAAACTGATTTTTTGTATGTCAGTTGCTAAACCCTTTGATTCACTAAAAACTGCAAGTAAATCAAAGCCCTAAAATGTTATACATGTCCCAAATGGGAAATAGATCACAGCCTCAGATGATCAGTCTCTTTAAAATCTATTCTTCCAGATTGCTGAGGGCTTTATAAGGGAGGTCATGGACTTTCAGGGGAGGTCTCAGAGTCAAACTAGATAGATACTATAGACAAAATATGTATTGCTTGCAATTAACCCATTTGTCCCTCCATGGTGCATTTCCCCCCCTCTAAGATAGGTACCTTAGCTATCAGACTTGCACATCAGACCATGTTTACCTTCCTCTGACCTATCCACAAAACAAAACATGTAGGGATGTGAGATGTAAGTGAGAATTATTCATGCTGGGACCAACAGTGCTTCTCAATATGAGCTAAGCATATTGTCTATTGCAGTGGTTCTCAAACTGGCCTCCCCAGAGGTTCTTGGACTGCAACTCCCAGAATTCCCGGCCACCACAGCTAATGGTGAAGGCTTCTGGGAATTGCAGTCCAAGAACCTCTGGGGAGCCCAGTTTGAGACCCATTGGTCTATTGACTCTCCAGGCAGGCTCTAATGGTTTTATAAAGATCCCTGTTAGCTCACAGCACTGTTAATCTTTTCTTTCACTCTCTTTTGCCTTTTGTCTGGTATGATCTGGCCTCACAGAAGCAAGCATTCCTAACTCTACCTTTGTCCTCACTTTCCTTGTTCTCCTACTTAAATCTTGGAAGAGTTGTTTTTCTGGACAACTTCCCCAAACACACAGTTATGCTGGCTGAGGGATTCTGAGAAATGTAGTTCAAAAGAGTAGCTTTCTTGGCTAATTCTGAAGTCTCAGCCATGCTTAGCTGACTAAAATATTGCCTTCTCTCATACCAGGCTCAGGATCAGAGTTTGCCCCCGCTTTTATACCTCCATGCCTTAGCAGTTGCATCAGGTCTCCCTGGTGGTTGCACTGAAAGGGAGTTGAACAACTCTATGCTCATGTTTAATGCAGAAACAACAAAGCTCCTTACATCCTCCGATTCAAAGACATGGCAGATCATTTTGTACTGCCTCTTCCCATCCTGAGACGGATGAGATGCCTCCACGTTATCTTGGGAATTAGATCTTGGCATTCGTCTGCGAGCCATCAAGACGACTATATTCCCAATATCTGCAATGTAGGAAATGGTCCTCAGAGGATGATCCATCATAGTTTCCTGGATAAGACAAATCTTTATATTAGTGCTCTTTGTCACTAAGACACAGCAATTTAAGAACACTGGCATTCAATATATACAAACACTTACGTTTTCCAAATTAAAGGGCATTTTCATCACCTCCTACAAAAGTAAAGAAGAACAGAAGTTCCTACCTGCCAAATCTCAAGAGTCTAGCAACATGAGGTCTTTACTGATTTGTCTCACTTTGGACCAGGGCCAATTAGAAAGTATATTCATGTTAAACTCAGGCATTATTACCTTGGATATTATGTTTCTGATACAGAAAAACATGCTTATTCACACTAGAGTACTACAGAACATTTCAAAAGCTAGCATATTATTCTTTGTTAAATATGGATTTATTGACCTTTTCAATAGCAAACACTGCAAAACTTTGTCAGCCTTGAAGTGGGAAATAGACTTCATGATGTGAACAAGAAGAAGATAACAAAAGTAAATGCTGGCAGACCCCCTTGTAATTTGTTGGGACACAAAAGCTTATTGATTCATTTCACTTCTCATAAATTATCTAAAGCATGAGCCTTCAAATTAAGGCAAGTAAAAATGGAAATAAATAGGTGTGTGTGTGTGTGTGTTTGTGTTTACGCACACATGAATTAATAATACAACATCATTCCATATTGTAGAATTTGCAGTACCTGAGTGTCCGCGTTCAGCACTTTTATCCTTTGTGTGGAGATGAAAAGGTCAACTTCTGTCATGGGCTGGGATTCACCTTCCGGTGCCTGCAAGTAAAGCCAGCTTTAATTATTGCCTTTCAAAAAGCATTTGATGAGACTCCTTACATTACACAGTGTGTTAGATCACAAATCAAAAGAACATTAAGACACAATCACCAGGTGAGCAACATAAAATTTAGTATTAGACTGCAGAAGCGAATGATAAGCAAAAAGATATGGAAAGAGACATAAGGTCTGACGTGTTTGTTAGAGAGCTCAGTCCTGTGTGTGAAAAGGTTAACCCTCAGCATTGCCCTTTATCCCTGATCATATGAATCTTTTCTCCTCAATATAAGAAAAGGGGGTTAGAGAGAAGATAGCTGAAGCACATTCTCCCCGCTCTTCTTTCAAGCAGGTTGAGCTGTACTTGATATCTCCCTAAAGTTGCTAACAATAACCTTTTTCCATCTGATGACAGTGAATAGATTCAGAGGCAGCCTGAATATCAAAGGGCCTCTGGTACTGTCCTAGATCATATTGTCCTTGCTGCCCACAAAGAATAAGATGCAAAGAGAGGAGGGCAGATTAATAATAGTGTACAAGCGGCCATCACTCCTTCCTCCAAGGAGAAGGATGTTCACTCAAACAGGGTCTCCAGTGCTGTGGCTGTGAAAATCCCCAAACTTCTCTTTTTCACCCATGCCATTCAACAGACTGTCCTTTACAATTAATTACTTCAGTATGAGGAACATAAGGATAGATTTTACCTTCCCAGTGCATGCTAGAAATACTGCTGTTACTGGAAAGGATTAAAGAATGCAAACTGCCATTCTAGTATGACAATCACTATGGTCAGACAACAGAAAGTATTACAGCACTAACCAAAAGTTAAAACACAAAAAATATGAGGGAAATATGGTGAACTAAAAAGGCACCTTAAAATTTAAGGAAAATCCCAGATTTGTATGCCTTGAGTAATCTTAGATGTAATTCTATGAATACAAGAAAACATTTTTTTTGCATCCAGCAATTCGGTAACATCCATGAATCAAACGAAATAACAAGTTAAGATAAACCACGTTAACTTTTAAAAGTGTTCCATTTAATACAATTGAATGTTTAATCTATCAGCTTCTACGTGTGGGAGCAGCCTGTTATTTATTTGGTTAGCTTATTAATCATTCTACTACAATTCTAAAATGAGATGACTGATGATAAGCAACAAAGAAGTGCAAACTGGGCAACTGGTTATTAGAAATGTCAATTGATATGGGTGGTTCAAACAAATTTGAAGAAAAAGTTTGCTGGATACAGAATTTTTTAAAAATGTGAAAATGAAAATGAAGAAATAAAAAAATAAATTAAAAAACAAAAACAGGCAAACATCAAGCTGATGAGGTTGTACTGCACCTTCTTTCTGCTTTTGGCTAATTTCTGGGCCATCTGCTTAGCATGGAATAAATAAAGACAGGAGAATGGTTAGAGAAGAATTTGTAGAGACTCCAGATCAAGCAAGGATCTACAACATTAGGATTCTGACTGGCACCTAGATCCATTTTAGTTCTGTCATATTTTAAAGGCCACACTGATTAGGTTTTGTAAAGTAAGTCTGTAGAAATAGACATGAGAGAGATAGACATAAAAGAAGAAAACATTTTTAAAGACTGGCTATCTTCTGTATCAAGGAGATCCTGTTGTTGAAAGTAGGATATTCTTACACTGAAAGTGTAAGAAATGTCATTTTATAGATCAGCAGAAGCGAGAGAATAATCTAGCCCTAATACCATCATGATGCTATTACTTATCCTACCCACATCTGTTATTTAGAAACATCTCATAAAAACAATTGGCATTTTATTATGTGGAGTCAGCCTGAAACATCCTCAGCTGCATAGTTTGCCATGTAGATCCTCCTCTTACTGCAAGGAGAATCTTGGTATGCTGTAGATTACTTCTTCTGGGAAACCACAGAGTGGCTCTGTATGGAGGATGATAGTGCCCAATTCTAAGGACAACTGCTACTGAATTAAAAGTTTCCAGGTATCTGGTTATCAATAATTAGCAGCATTTGCAGCAGAGAATACACAGAGTACCAGGCCTTAATTGAGAAATTAGAATGGATGTCTGTGTAGCAGTTTTCTAAATGTGGACACTGTTGTAGACAAAACCACCATACACAAAAACAAAACCCTAATTCTTATTCAATTCTTCATCTAATAAACCTTTACCTTCACCAAATAGTAAGCATGAGTATTTTTAAATCCTCCCAGCTTCAATGTTTCAAGAAAGTGTTAACAAAAACATGTAATTGACTAATTGTTGGAAGAAAATATTGTTATAAGCCACCATGACCACTACAAATAATATGGAAGGGTGGGACACAAACGCTTAATAAATAAATACAATGAGGCAGAATGTTTTAGCTATAACTGTATGTTTCTGAGTCCTTGCCCATGAGTCAGTGAAACATTATTCATACAGGATCTACTTATGTTAATTTTCAGATCAAATGCTTTTATTCACCTAGAGAGATGTCTCAGAACTGACTAGGATCTCTGAATGTGAATGCAGGGCATAACCTAGGGAGGACTGACTTTGGTTTATCATGGAAAGAATACAAATATGTAGGTATGGGTGAAAGTATTTCAGAGATTGAGTTTTAAGCAATGCATTGCTATCTCATCTGTTCCTTTTGTGCACAGAAACTTTGACTCTCTCTCTCTCTCTCTCTCTCTCTCTCACACACACACACACACACACACACACACACACACACACACAGAGAGAGAGAGAGAGAGAGAGAGAGAGAGAGAGAGAGAGAGAGAGATGTCTTTATTAACATCAATAGAGGGATGAAATCTATGTTTGTGGGGCTACTTCCTTCCACTGAAGAAGATGAGAACACTGGATGTGAATACACTTTTTTAATGTACTTCACTGTTATTTTATAATTGAGCAACATGATCTTTTGGAATCTACTTCCACAATGGGAACCAGCTCATTAGAATTACTCATAACGGACGCTACTCAATCTGCTGACCCATCAACAGTTCCCTTCAGAACTATCATGCAGTCAGTGAAAAACTTGTAGTGAACAGTCATAATAAAACTGATTTTGATTTCTAAAAAAATGCTATAATGTCGGATAACCAATATTTATCTTATTTTTATATGGTCTACATAAACCTGATTAAGTTATGACAAGTGCTTACAGAGTAAGAAGGAAAATAACAGTATGATGATTTATCAGTAAGCAGTTGAGATAATTTCTATTGATTGAATTTTGTCTCCAATGTTTTTGACCAAATAACCCAACTATATAAAAAGTATTTTTATCTTGGCCTGTATTTAGCTATAGGGTATACTGGCCAAACATCCAGCAAAAGTTAAGCAATTTCACTATGAGAGGTCTAAGTATGTTCTCAACTCTCCCACTGAAATCAGTGAGACTTAAGAATGCTTGTTCCTTTTGTATCTAATTTGAAATAGCAATATAATTAACTAAAATTACTTCTTAAAGAGGATAAAATAATTCCTTTAAAATTAATTCTGCACCTCTAAGTCACTAAAGCACTTCAAACCTCATTAGATTTAAACCAACAGTTCTCTAATTGCTAATTATACAAAGCAGCTATCTTTGAAAGTGTCACATGTGAGAAAAAAAGTTGTGTAAGGTAAAATCAAATAGAATTAATAAAGTGCTTTTATGATTTCTCTTCTAAAGTGCAAATTGTATTCCAGTAACGACAATGGTGTTAATTAGTTTAAAGGCGTATGAACACATATTTTTTGCATATAAATTTCATGTCACTGCATAGCTTATTTTTATATACTAAATGTTTATTTGTGTGTGCATCCCCCAAAGCCCATCATCTAAACAGGTCAAGTTTTTTTTGGGTACACACTAGAACTTCTGAAAATCCACTGCAAGCTTTGAAGGTAACTTTGTCGATGATGCAAAAGGCTGCCAAAAGAAGAGAACACAAACATCATAGGATCACACGCGTGTGGGCCAAACCTCATCTTATGACAGACATCATGCTGCTACTGTAAACTCTGCAATGTCACAACTTCCTCTCCCTCCTTGTAATATGTAGTTAACACTGGCCTTTGTCATGGACAACAGACATGGATGGCATCCATGTGGTTTAAGAAGCATCAGGACTGTACTGCTGGCCCCACCTCCAGACCCATGACTTCCCCTGTCCCCTCCGCTGTCTACACAGAGGAGGCAACCCATTCATCTAAACTTCCAAGAGAACTGGGTGACCAAGGTTCTCACAGAAAGGTCAATCTGTGCAGATGTCTTGTTCTCAGACAACTATGACTAACAGGAGAGAGTCCGCAGGAAGCTCTGCGCAATCAGGACAGGAGCAGACGTCTGTCCCAGGGTCCACTACATTTTTATGGATCCTTTTCAGACAGATGGCATGTGAAGGAGACTAAGGTGAAATTGCATTACTGAACTGTGCTACCAACAGAATCGTTTTCTGTTCTGGCACCAGAACAATTTGGTTTGGTGATTATAATAGCAGTCTCTCAATACAAGCTTCAGAATGCTGAAACATTTTCATTTGGCAAGTATAAACTGAATATGGTGAGAAAAAACTGGGGAAAAAACCACTATGAGGAGTCAGGACAAGAGGAGGAAACATAATATGGGAGAACTTTTAGAAGCAGACTTATATTTGCTCCAGCTTCATTTTTACTCTGTATCTATCTTACAAAGTGATTCTTTGGATCAGGGACTGAACCAGTAACACATATTAATGCATGGAAATGAGGCCATGAAAATCAACAGTCTGATCCACAAGCAAGTGACGCTGGAGTATACAGGAACACAGGATGGTGCCTGCTACTGACTCAGACCATCAAGCTCAGTATTAGCAACTATAAATAGCAATGATTTCCCAGGGTTAGTTTCAGGCAGGATTTTTTCCTAGTTTCAAACTAGAGTTCCCTGGTATTCCTTGATGGGCCCCCTAATCCAAGTATTAAATCACATCCAGATCTGCTTAGCTTCTGAAATCAAGTGAGATCAGATGCATTCAGGATAAGATATTGGTGTCATTCAGAGGAAATTCTGCACGGTTCATCTGGTCTCAACAGACAAATCCCAGTGTTAAGTCATCCTAACCCACTTCAATTGGAAAGCTTTAGATGTAGTAACACAACCCACAGTTGTCTTGACATGACTAAGGAATCTTAGTTTGGCATCTCAGACAGATGCACCTTTCAAGCGCTGACCTCTCTGCAACCAGATGCCCCCAAACTGCCAATGAGTCTGTGTCCATTACATTATTATGCTGTGCCTGTAAGGGGAGGAGTCATGTCAGGTTCTTCCAGCAGTACAAAGGTAACTCGTCACTGCTCCATTGCTGGTCCCTTAACCTAATACCAGTGACTATAACAACAAACTATGAAATTGCACTAGCTTATTTGTGAGACACAGCATGAATTGGTAGACAAGAAATTTAATCCCTGAATTACCGTAAACTTTATACATTATACAAAATATAGTTCATTTTGTAGACTCCTGCCAACCTAGCAGTTCAAAAGCATGTAAATGCAAGTAGATAAATAGGTACCACCACGGTGGGAAGGCAACAGTGTTCCATGTCTAGTTGCACTGGCCATGTGACCACGGAAACTATCTATGGACAAACGCTGGCTCTACGCTTGGAGACGGGGATGAGCACCGCACCCTAGAGTCGAACACGACTGAATTAAATGTCAAGGGGAACTTTTACCTATATTTTGTAGAACACAGTCCATTGTCTAAAACTATTTTTGTTTTTTAAAAAAGACAAATATACAGCTCTATAATTTTTTATAAATGTTGGATTTGCTAATTACTATAAATATTTAAAATTTAACCTATACTTTTTATAACACGGGAATAAATAATCAAATTATCAAAAGATTAGCATTTTCCTTCTTTCCTTGCATAAGAAGTTTTTACTGACCACTCTAGCACTATCATGTATATTTGATTTATGGTTTGATGTATATTGTCGTCTTGTCTTAATACTTGCTGTGCATAACCTTAGATGGCCAGATCACAATCCAGTATAATGTCTAAATCAGTGGTTCCAAACCTTGAGTCCCCAAATGCTCTTGGACTAAATCTCCCAGATGCCTTCACCACTAGCTGTGCTGGCCAGGATTTTTGGGAGTTACAGTCCAAAAATATCCTAGGAGCCAAGGTTGGGAACCACTGGTCTAGATGGTCCTACTCTCTAACCACGCCTTTCCCATCAACTCCCTCCACCACTGGCTTGTCAGATGTGCACAAAGGTAGGCATACAGTGCTGCACGTACACATTTCTGCACATAGCAAATGAAACGGATGACCTGTAAAGTATTCAGAAGAGGTGCTAATATGTTACTTTCCCCGGAGACCCTTTATAATGCAATCCAACATTATAGCACTTTGCTCATACAAAATGAAAGCAACTACTGTAAACAAACACATTCTTGAGTCTAATCACAAAACTGTGATTGGAATTTCAGAAGGCATGCATCAATACAGGCAGACAGGAAGACTGATTTCTCACCTTGATTCGGCTCACAGCTTCCTGAGCCTGCATCATTCTCACATTCTTCGATGGAGTTTTATCCGACAGAAGCTGAGTAGAGCCAAGGTAATTGGCAGCAAATATTATTCCATCAATTAAATCTTCAGGATCGCAGGGCCCGGGAACTGTAGTACAGAAAAATTGAATTATTGCGCAGTGCTACCAATGGGAAAGAGACAAAACACGACACTACACTTGCCGCTGTGTTAAGGCTACAAATGCAACTTTGGAGTGGCTGAAATTTATCACGATAACCAAAGACTAGACACAATCAAAAGAGACAAAGAGGGACCTGCCTCACAGCAGCACAGCCGGCACTTGATAATCCAATCTGACTCTTACATACATTCGCTTATTCTGTTAGAACAAAAGTTCACCCTGAAGCAAAATAACCCGAGTGGCTTTTTTTCCCTTTGCTTTTTAGAAAATCACACTTACATGCCCCCACCCAAGTACGGCCATTCATTCTTTGATCATGATTATCTAACTTCAAAAGCTTAAACACAGAGATGCTAAGTGGCATAATGAAAGCTATGTGAACAAGGAAATTAAATAGATTTCCATATATTAGATAACTCTGCACAGTATATCTTGTTCCCTTTTTGAAAAATCAATGGTGAGGAGAGAAAAGGAAATTAAGATAGCTTTTCAAGATTTAGGTAGTTAAAAAAAGGAGATACAGGATTCAATTGGGACAGCTAACTCTGTGAGATGTCTGCAGCAGCAAGTAAAGTTTGATCAACCTTCTGACATACAGTGGCAAACACTGCTTTTCATGCACACACAGTAGCCTGCAAAAAGCTGAGGTGATGATCTGTACAACTGTCTATGTTTAAACCAAATTTGAGAGGGCAAGAGCTCAGCTTTTTCTGTAGCCATCATGCTGCTGAAATCATGTTGCATGGCACTGGGGAGATTAGGTCCAAATTCAGATGTCACAGCAAATGTACACTGTCATACAGCTCTTAATGCATTATCTTTGCTAGGTGATTTTAAAAATGCTATTTGTAATATTGTAGAAGGCCAGAGAAAGGTTTGGCATAACTACCAGAAGATGTTACTGACTGCCCTCAATATGGCAAAAATTGTTGTGGGACAAGCATTGAATTGGCATTCAATCAAAACTAAAACTACCCTATTTTTCCATGTATAAGACTATACTTTTGTCTAAAATCTTTAACCCAAAAATTGAGGGTCGTCTTATACATGAAAGTAAGCTGAAGAGAGAACAAAAACAAGTGGAAGGGAAAGCAGGGATCAAAGCGATCCTGCAGTGCTTTGATCCCTTTCCCCCTACACTTGCTAAGCCCCGCTTAGATTTCTTAATTTTGGATTAGAAAATTGGGGGGGGGGCGTCTTATACATGGGACATCTTATACACGGAAAAATACGGGTATGTTAGAACTGAGAAATACGGGTATGTTAGAACTGAAGTATTAATTCCAGTGGCATAATCCATACACAACTTTAGATAGTACACACAATTAAGACATGTTAGTCCATAACATATAGTTTAGTGCATCCTTGTTTTCATAAAGTTGAGTGTCAGTGAGTTAGCTGGGAGTTATTTGCCATCAAAATCATTAAGGACATGACTTGCAACAAACAGCAATATAAGTTTGGTGTATGAGGGCATAGATTGGAGTTAATTATGTTTTTTAGAGAGACCCTGGAACACTATAAAGTATGTTTAGCACCACATCCAGTGTGGCTGACTGATTAGTTCTGGGCGACAATAAAGGAAACTCAGATTTAAATCTCTATTCAGCCATTAAGCATATTGAATTACCACTGAACAAGCACTATCTCTCAGCTTAACTGATAACTACACTGGACTGTAAAGGTAAAACGTATCAAGGAATGTTGGAGAATTCCCTACACTACCTTCATCTTATTGGTGTAATGTAATCATTCTGTCAATCAAAGATATGACTACATAAGCCAACACAGGGAAAGAGCTACATTATTTCAACAACCACAGTTTTTGTGCCAATTTCTGGTAATCCAACTAAAGGCTCATTTTCAGCTAATGCCTGACCTTGGCATCTAAAAAACCAAATGGCTAATTCACCCAATTCATATGAACATAATTTAGTTGTTATCCAAAAGCATGCAGACATTATTTCTGGATTCATCGCTGAATATACCAGCATGCACAAACAAACCTGTTTAAAAGTGCTTTCAAGTCCCAGTCCACTTTTGACCTAGTGCATCAACACAGGCACGTTAGCTAATTTGGATGAGTGACACCATGTACAGGCCTAATGGACACTCTCTAAATTTGATTTGGAACACAATATAACTTTAATAATGAGGCTCTAGTCATTTTAATCGCAAAAACCAGAAGAATGTATAGGAGGAGTAAAATAAGCCCCAACCTTCTATATCACATTTGAATCAAACTAACTGCAGGGAGAAAAAAATATATAATTCAAAAATTGTATCATAAGTAATTTCATGAAGCAGCACCTTACATATTAATCCTCCAAGAGACAAACATATTGGTCTGTGTACTCGTGTAAAACCGAGCACAATGAGAGCGGAGCTAACAAGTCCCAGCGGCTCTCCTGCCACTCATGTGGACATGTGAAGCAGCACCTGCCTTTGTTACTACAACTACTGAGTGAGAACTAGGGGCAGTTGATTGAATAGGTGCCAACCTAGAGCAGAAGACCTGAATGGCCTAGGACAGTAAAAGACTGAACTCAGCTAGAATAAAAGGCCAAGATACTCTTAGATCATGGTGAGTATGGGCTAAACTAGTCAAGACAAGTGGTACTACACATGCTGCTTTTCTTTCTTAAAAAGCATTTGCAGAAGACTGATGCAGATCAGCTCATAACATGGGGGAGGGGATTACATTCTGTCCTGGAAAATCTAGTTTCTGTTTTATGTTGCAGGCTACACATAAGCAGGAACCTCTATTCTCCAGACTCCTCCGTCACAGTGCGAAGCCAAGACAGAGCAGTGAGGCTAGGTGCTCTCCTCTAAGACTGTTCAGGAAGTCAGATACTTTAATGCCACCATAAGGTTCAGGTCTCACAAAACAATTTTCTTGGGTGGTTTTTGCACAGATTATGAAACTCTGGTAATTTTGCATTTATTTCAATAAATGTTTATCTGCACTTTACAATTATTTAAAAAATTCTTTAGAAGTTTTAAAAAGATAAGTTAGACAGCTTACCTTCAACATAAGTTGGGAAAGAAGCCAAGCTTTTTCTTGACTGTAATTAAGACAAACAGGGTATCAAACCAAGCTAAGCATGTTACTGAATGCATTAAAAAGCCTTTCACGCACAACTGGCAAAGTTATTCATCACACAATGACAGTTCCTACCCAATGTCTAAGGACAGCCTATTGAGTAATATTTCAAGATGGGTATGAAGAGCTTTGTGCCATGTCATCTCAAGTCAATGGCACGGCTCCCACCCCTGGCTGGCTCCCCCACTCACCAGCTGGAGTGGGCTGCTTTTCTCCTGCTCTTCGCGCAACTGTCCAGTTGCAGCAGGAGCGTATGCTTCTCTCCTCTGCCTCCTCTGGCAGCTGCCCACACAAAGGCTGTGCTGCAGGAATCCCTGCCCCACCTCCTTGTCTAAGTGGGAGGGAAGCAGATATTCCTGCTGTAACTGGACAGTCACATAAAGAGCAGGAGAAAAGCAGTGTACGCTGGCTAGTAAGTAGAAAGTGGGAGAAGGGAACACAGGACGATTTGAGATGACACGGCACGAAGCGCTTCGTGCTCATCTCTAGTAATAGTACAAATGCTTCAAAATATCATTCATTATTAAGACATTACCATGGAGTTTAGTGGACACTAATAAGCATCAATAAAGCATTCCGAAATTTTTATCAGTATAAACAACTTTTAGAAGAGCAAAGATTTACCAGTGATTGAGTGAGTGAGTGAGAGCACATATAAACACACTATGATGAAAATATGGTGAAGAGAGATTTAAACATCCAGTAATGTTCTGAAGGTTTCAGTGTTTTGCCAGCCTCTGAAATTCTGTAATAAAACACAATTTTTTTGCTTGAAACAATGATTAGGTGGTTGTTTCTTGTTTTAAAGAGTATGTGTGTGTTTCCAAAATTGTAACATTTATTTCTACAGAAGAAACTGCTTTTGTGACCATCTGATGTATTATACAGCCTGTTTTTGAAAGTGATATCATTTTAAATAATTCATCTAATTGCCAAAAGCAGATTAAAGTGGTTTATCTTTTGCATGCAAGTAGGCAGAGATAATAAAACAGCAAAACAACAAAAAGCATTTCTGAGAAAAGCTGGTTGGTGGTAGGAAGTACACAGCCTTCAATTGACTGACACAAAAGCTTTGCTCTTATTATGGGCATTATTACCATTAGAGATGGGAACGAATATAAAAACAGATGGCTTTTTCTGACAAATATAGCTGATTCGTAAAATATTCATCAATCCGTTTTTGTGGGTTCCAGAGAACCCCACAAATACGAAGGGATATTTACCCGTTTTTATAAGTCTGTATTAAAAAAAAACCCAAAAAACACCATTCTGCCTACCAGCTGCCGATCAGCTGATTGGAGGTAGAAAGGCAGCCGCCACCCCACACAGCCACCCAATACCACAGCCTACCCCCCTGCATTCCCTTAGATGGCCTTAAGGGAATCCAGGCTGCCCTTTGAAAGATGGCAGCTGCAGCTTCACTACTCTAAATGAAGCCACAGCTACCATCTTTGCAAAGGGCAGCCAGTCTCCCTTTTTACACGCTGTGGCTGCAAAGGCCTGATGGAGACCTCAGCAGCAGCTATTAAGGTAAGGGGGTGTTGGTGGGAGTGGGGTGGGGGCTAATGTAGGGAAAGGAAGGGGGTGTGGGGGTAGCCTGTTGGGGTGGCTGGCTATGTGTGTAGGGTGGCTGCCTATCAGCTTCTGATTAGGTGACAGGCTGCCGGTAGGCAGAATAGGCTTCTGCGCTGTGTGGTAAACTCTCCTGGGAGGACCCAATTTCTGGGTGAATAATTCGGATGTCCGATATCCAATCTTCACCAAAGTTGGCAGGCATGTTGGGGAAAGACACAGGAAGTTCTGTTGTGATTCTGGAGTCTCTAGGTACCTGGGGAGAGCTTTCCTGGGGGGTCTTCTTTGTGATTATATAACTGGGGGGGTATGTGATCCAATGTTCGCCAAACTTCCAGGGATTGTAGAAATTCGTCTGAGGAAGCTTCCCTTAAAATTTGGTGTCTCTCGGTGGTTGGGGGCCAGTGTTATAACTCTTTAAAGTGCAGACAAATTTACAGATCGATTTGTTGAAGAATATTCATATATTCATATTCGTTGATCTGTTAACCTTGATGAATATTCATATTCGTTGATCTGTTAACCTTGATGATCAAAACGAATCACCATTTTTAAAATTTGTCCCCAACTTTAATTACCATAAATCTTAATTTTTTCCTTCAGAGAGAGATGTTTTCACACTTTCCTATCTCCCTTCATTACAAATGCATTGGCGTAATCTCTTCATTGACACCATTTCCATTTGGGCATTTGGTGTTACAGAAAAATAATTATGTGCAGGAAAGAAATGTTCTTGTGTAAAACAGGAAGAATGGCCTTGCAGATTTTATCAAAGGCAGGGATGGTGAACAAGGGAGAGATTTTCCATAGGAGGTGCTGGGTGCTTCTAGGTGGATAGCTACTAGTGTTATGAAACAAAATGTTCCTCCTTAATGGATGGATAGGTGGATATGTATCTGTGTGTGAGAGAGAGAAAAGAAAAGAAAATAATCATGGCTGCGGGGAAGAAGGAAGGCTTCATCTAGAAATGCCTGCCAGAAGTTTTGTAATTTTGTAATATCTCTATCTCTGATATCATCCCCCAGTAATCTAAGAATGTGGCCTCCAGTCACAATTAAAGAAATAAAATCATTGATTTCAACAATCAAGAGCAATAAAGCTCCCGGGGAAAATTTCATCCCCCTGGATATACTTAAATCTTTTCAGGACTGGTGGGCCCCAACCCTAGCTACCTTATTTACTTATATAGATATGGTGGGTGGCACCCGTAGAGAACAGTCATCTTCACTTCTCGTGCCCATTGACTATAAGAAAGGCGAGTGAAAGGACTCAGCCAATTATAGACCTATAAGTTTGCAAACTTTACGCAAGACATCTCCTTTTAAAATTGGAAGACTGTGTGATAGAATATAATCCTTTAGCTCCTGAACAGATTGGTTTTAGGGAGGGGAATTCAACACTAGACCATATTTTTCTGCTTAACCATCTAATTAACAAATATGCTATTGCATCTTCAGGACAATTATATGTAGCATTTATTGACCTCAAAGTTGCTTTCGATTCTATCCCAAGAGGTCGACTATAAGAAAGGCGAGTGAAAGGACTTATAGGTCTATAATTGGCTAACTTTACGCAAGACATCTCCTTTTAAAATTGGAAGACTGTGTGATAGAATATAATCCTTTAGCTCCTGAACAGATTGGTTTTAGGGAGGGGAATTCAACACTAGACCATATTTTTCTGCTTAACCATCTAATTAACAAATATGCTATTGCATCTTCAGGACAATTATATGTAGCATTTATTGACCTCAAAGTTGCTTTCGATTCTATCCCAAGAGGTCGTTTGTGGGAAAAACTTATAAATCTTAAAACAGATCCTAGATTGCTACAAAGAATCAAAGAGCTCCATACTGATACTTCCCTAAGGGTCAGAGCCGGTATTTCTGGTCAACTATCTAACATAGTTAAAACATCTAAAGGTGTCCGTCAGGGCTGTATCCTAGCTCCATTGCTTTTCAATTGTATATCAATGATATGGTAGCCAGGTTAACTGGACTGCAATTTTTCCCTGTAAGAGTAGGTGGAAAGTCTCTTTCAATATTATTCTATGCAGAACAATACCTTGCTAATATCCCCCACGCAAATAGTTCTTAGAAGATTATCAAAAGATTATCAATAATTAGTAATTATTGTAAGAACTCTCTTAATGTTAATTATGAGAAAAACAAAATTATGGTTTTAAATAGATGACTTCAGGCACGTAAATGGACAATGCATAGGAGAATATTGGAACAGGTAACCCACCTTAAATATTTAGGCATAATGTTTTATCCGTCAGGTTCCTGTTCTTAGAAGATTATCAAAACAATTTAGTAATTATTGTAAGAACTCTCTTAATGTTAATTATGAGAAAACCAAAATTATGGTTTTCAGTAGAAGACCTCAGGCACATAAATGCACAATGGATGGGAGACTATTGGAACAGGTAACCCACTTTAAATATTTAGGCGTGATGTTTTATCAGTCAGATTCCTGGGCATTTCAGATTGATTTTACAAAGCAGAAATTCTAAAAAGCCATGTTTGGCATACTTAAGATTCTGTAGAACTAGAAGAGGACATTTGATCCCTCCCACTCGTGAAATTTATAAAACCAGGTTACTCCCCCAGATTTTGTACAGTGCTGAAATATGGAGAACTGGAAACTTCTAGAAGTAAGCCAAAACAGATTTGCCTGACTATTGTTGGCAGTACCTCCCACAACTCCCTCAGCGCAAGTTAGACTAGAATTGTCAATAATGTCAATAATAACACTAGTCAACAAATCAATAATTAACTATTGGCTGAAAATTTTGTTTACCACTCAGAATATTTAACATCATCATATGGGGACATGAATTCTGGAACGTGGAAATCCTCCATACTGCAACTAGTAGCCAAACTTGGATTTTCAGAAGAGTATGTAAGGCATCTTGGTCTGTCTGCAGCAAAAAGCTCATTAAAACAGAGATTATTTGATCTCTGTTACCAAACAGATATAGGTTTGCTAGGCACTCTAAAGATGACCCCATTCTATAAGATTATTTCATCTCCGCCTTTAAATCTTCCTTTTTATTTTGCCGATTTAGTGAGCATCGACTATAGAAAAGCCTTCACTCAAGCATGTCTTGATATGTTGCCGCTTGCTGGCTTAAAAGAACGTTACCCACAAATTCCATACTATGAGAGAGTTTGTTCTTGCGACCAAAAATCAGTTGACGACTTAGTACATGTTGTGTTTTACTGTCCCCTATTTGTGACCCACCGTGAAAAGCTCCTGAAGCCTATGTTGGAAAAATATCCTGGAAGACCTGTCCAGGAAAAGCTCAGGATCCTACTCTCAGACAGAGATAAATTTATTACATTTCGAATGGCAAGGTTTTTATCTATACTTATGAAAATGAAACTCGTAGCCCCCACTGCTACCAATCAAGTGGTTATGTAGGTTCATGTATGCTTGGGGTTCCCCCTTCCGCAATAGGTGCTTGTTATTGGCACCAGATACTGTCTATCAACTGCCTTCGCTTAGTTTTCCTTAGGGTTTTGTTTTTTTTTAAAGACGTTAGAGGTTTTTAGCTGTGATAGAAATCTA